GATCCATCAAAGACAACGCGACCTTCATACTTGCGGTCTTCGCGCCCGATCGGGAGTTCTGAATTCTCTTCTACCAAAATGGCAAATAGGCGTCCGAAATGGGTCGTTTGCCCTTTTCGCTGTCGAACAACATCGCTGTATTCCATCACGCCTGACTCATTCCAAGTACCGATGCTTCTTAACCGATTCCATTCGGTTCGCAATGCTTCGCGGGCATCCTGGTTCATCGCAGCTTCGGCCTTAAACACGGGTCGTGCTACGGCCGCTGTACCCCGCGTCGGTTTAATCTCAGCTGGTAATTCTTACGTCTGTTCTACGATTCGAATATGATCGGTGAATGGATTGTATAGGTAGTTTGTATTCAACCTTTCTTTCTCACGATGTGGCGGGGGGTAGGATTCAGGCGATTGCAACGGCATGCGGGGAACGCTACGTCGCGAAGCGGCGGCCGCCGGACTCGAAGTCAGGCTGTTCCCGTTAGGTCTGGAAGATTGCGGGAATGCCATGTCCTCTCCGACTGTGTCGGGGGGAACCCCATCTCGCAGACAGGTCCCACCATACCATGTTTGTTTCCGCCATACTTCATCATCATCGGAGGTACCCGGGTCACTCCCAGAGCCTGCATCAGTGGAGCGTTCCGCTGCCGCTCCCGCAGGACGCAGGAGGGCGCGCCAGGTCTACTTCGGTTTTCCCTGGCATCACCGCATCGCCTTTCTTTTTTCGGCGGGCTTCAGCGCCTGAATGGACTTTGCCCTCTGGATGCTCAGTTCCTGCGTTGCTGTGTTGCGCGTTCTGGAGATCGACTGCGTCGATTCCAATATCGCGAAGGAAGGCAATGCAGGGTCCCAGGTCTACGACCCCGAAGAAACCCCTCTCTCGAGTCGGACACCGCTTTCCTCCGTTCTGCATGGCTCACGTTGAACCACCGACTTGGGTGAATTCCCGGATTGGTGGAACTAGGCAATTTCTTGAACCCTTGTGCTCCATAACGTGGGTCTGGGTCTGTGGCCCAGACTCGTGTCACGGGTACATAGTCAGGATCGCAATACAAAACGAGCCTAACGCTGCAAGTTGTCCTTCTGCCTTTTAGGGCCGTTTTCCCGTCAGTTCATCCTTACCAAGGCCCGCAATAATGCGTCGATCTTCGTAATATTCCATAATGTCTAAGTTCTGCGTGGTTCGGGCGAGAAGTTGTTCTGGTCCGGGCACTCTCGACCGTGGCTGTGCCACCGAGAAATCAGACTGACGATCTAACCTGTATTCCGTATGAGCAAGACCGAGCTTTCGCTTCGTGTCATCATCAGGTCTAGAATCGCGTTGGGGGGCCCTACCATCAGGTACCACAGGCACGTCATCCACAATAATTCCCCCCGGACCATCGTCATCGAAGTTGACAACATCTTGAGGTCGTGGTGCGGCCTCGCCTCGTGCCGGAGGCGGTGGTTTTGATGTTCTTTTTGATTTGGGAATGTTTGGGGGGTCAGGTCTGTAGTAGAGCCCGCAGGGGCGTCGGCAGGGCCGTCTTAGTCGCTCGTTGCCGTGGCTCTTGGTTCGCACATTTTCGCGTCAACGTGCTCTTGGTGTGCGAAATGTCTGGTCCAGATTTCCGTTGCACCGAGGGCCCAGCATGGCTTCCATCTAGAACTTCAAATTCTGAGGTCGTCTCCCAGGGTTTCATTGCAAACGGCGGCCTAACACGTCTGGGCAAAAGGCCGAAATCGATGTGTAAACTAGCTTAGAGGACACGCGAATCACAAAAACGCCGCATCCAATGATATGGTGCACTCGAAAGGACCTGCGCTAACACACTGGCAAATCATTGGACCAACCAGCGCCCGTCGATCACAGCCGCGTTTACGACCAGACGAGGCAGCCTACAACAGGCCCGCGTTTCCGCGAAACGTTTTCGGGCGCCAGCGGTGCAAACCCCGCGGCCGTAGTGCGCTAACTGAGAAGACAGCCTGGCGTCGATGTATCTGCGCAAAGCGGCCAAATCCTGCCGCGCGCGCGGCGGCCCAGAGGCTGCCCCCGTTGTATTTCTCCACGCGCAACGGCCCAACGCCTGCGTTTCCCGCGGGGGGCGACCTGGCGCCTCCGCGCGCGCGGCGGCGCAGGGGCCGCCCCCATCGCATTCTTACGCAAGCAGCTCAGCGCCGCCGCGTGCGCGGCGGCGCAAAGGTCGCCACCATCAAAATTCTCTGCGCACGACGGCCAAGCGCCGCCGCGCGCACGGCGGCGCGGGAACGGCTCGCGTTGCGTCTTCTGCTCGCGATGGCCCCAGCCCGCCGCGCTCTCGGCGGCGCAGAGGCCGCCTCCATTTCGCCCCTCCATGCACGACGGCCCAGCGCCGCCGCGCGCACGGAAGCGCCGAAACTGGTCTCGTCGCATGTTTTCTGAGCGCGGCGGCCCAGCGCCGCCGCGCGCGCGGCGGAGCCC